GGAAAGCTGCAGATGAATTTGTTTGCAAGGAAAGCTGCAGATGAATTTGTTTGCCTGTGTCTCGTGCTGTCTCGAGCCGTGTCCGTTGTCCCCCGCCCCGGGCTCCCGGCTCGGCTGTTAACGCGTGTCCTTCCCTCGCTGTCGCTGCAGCTGGAGCAGTTCAACATGATCGAGAACGCCATCAGCTCCAACAGCCTCTACAGCCCCTGCTCCACCCTCAACTACTCCCAGGCTGCCATGATGGGACTGACGGGCAGCCACGGCAGCCTGCAGGACTCGCAGCAGCTCAACTACTCCAGCCACGGCAACATCCCCAACATCATCCTGACAGGTACAGCCGACCCCAGGGCTGGGACAGGGGGGATGGATTGGGCACCTGAGGGTGGCCTCACCTCACCCTGGGGTCACCTCAGGGATCTCAGGCTGGTGGAGGGGTCAGAAAAGGAGGAGCAGCTGAGGGCTCTGCAGAGGAAACTCCTTGGGCTCTGCAGCTCCTCCCGAGGAGCAGGGACAGGACCCGGGAACGGAGCTGGGTCAGGGTGGATCTCAGGGAAAGGTTCTGGAAGGGTGGGATTGTTGGGGTGTCTGTGCAGGGCTCAGAGCTGGACTGGAGGATCCTGGGAGTCCCTCCCAGCTCAGGATATTCCAGGATTCCATGATCCCAGCTTTGGGGTTCTCTTGGTTGAACCAGGAGGGAAAAAGGGGGATGGTTGCTGTGGGGTTTGTTTCACCTGGGCCATGGTGCACGCCCCAGGGCCCAGCTCACCTGGGATCCCAGCACACAGCTAGAGCACCAGTCTCCTACAGACTTTTCCTGCCCTAAATTCCCTGGATCCTCTGCCACAGTGAGGAAAAGCTGAGAGAGCCAGACTCCTTCCCTTGCTCAGCCTGAGCTGGCCAGCAAAGGGTTGGAGTGTCACATATGGTGGCCAATCTGGTCACAGTTGGGTTTTGGAAACAATCCTTGCTCAAGGATACTGTGGCTGCAGCCAGGGATTGCAGATTGGAATGGTGGAAAGTGAGGTTATTCCTCCTAAACCTGAGGGGAGAAAAGGGACTCGAGTGACACCAAACATCCAGAAATGCACTGAGCTTTGTGTTTGGTGCTTTGGAGATGCCGTGAGGAAYCTGAAACTCATCCAGCTGGGTTGGAGGGTGGATGTTCCTCAGCAGTAACTTCTCCCAGGGTTTTGGAGCTGTTTTCTGCCTGTCAGCCCGGAGTTTGCACAGTCCAAGCGAGCCCTGTGTGTTGTGTCCCCGCAGTGACAGGAGAATCGCCCCCCAGCTTATCCAAAGAACTGACCAGCTCCTTGGCAGGAGTGGGGGACGTCAGCTTCGACACGGATTCCCAGTTCCCTCTGGATGAACTCAAAATTGACCCTTTGACCTTGGATGGACTGCACATGCTCAACGACCCCGACATGGTCCTCACCGACCCCGCCACAGAGGACACGTTCCGGATGGACCGGCTGTGAGGCGCGCCCCCGTCCCCGAGCAAACACCGCCGCTTGTTCCGAGCTTGCCGCGCTGCAGAGCCCCCGCTCCCCGCCGTGAGCCGCTCTGCTCTGCTCTGTCCGTCCAGCTGTAAGGATTGGCCGGCTCTCCGGGGCATTGTGGCATTGTCCTCTGCAGAGCCCCTCCCCAGCACAGCTCCCGGGGCGGCTCCTGCGCCCAGAACGGGAGGGGAGGGAAGGGAAGGGAAGGGGAGCGGGAAGCGAATCCCTGCATTGCCACCCCTGGAATTGTGACTCTGCTTTGTGACACTCTGCCTCCCTCCAGGTGCCGTGGTTGTCCCCAGGTGTGTCCCCAACCTTTTGTCCCTCCCTGCTGCCTCCACCAGTCCCAGCAAAGCGGAGCTGCCGCCGGCCACCAATCCCAAAAATCCACTTTGAACACTATTTTTTTTTTCCAAGCTTTTTATGTTTTGGTTTATTTTTTTTTTAATATATATGTAATATATATCTATTTCTATATATGGCTACATATATAGAGAGCATTTCTGAGCACACATGAAAGTACTATAATTCATTACTTGATTAGACAGAGGATCAGAACATCTTAAAGCAGCTAAAAAAAATAGAGACTAACCTGCATAATCCTAATTTTTACTTTGTGAGAGATTCCTGGGCAACAGGAAGGGCATTTCCATAGCAATGCCAGGCTCATAGAATCATGATTTTTTTTTTATTTTTTATTCTTATTCATTACTTATTCTGTTACTTATTTATGATTTTTTTTGTCGTTGTTGTTGTCATTACTTCTTTTTTAATTTAAATATTTGGATATTAGGAAAGTAGCTCAACTACATACAGCCAATGGAAGCACTCTACATAATACTTGTACAGTACATTTTTTTGTGGTTTTATTCCAGAAATATATTATATATATTATATATATAGGTATTTTTAAACTAACTGGAATTTTAAACAGATGTTAAGCAGGAATAAGGAAGCCTAAGGCAGGTTTAGATGTTTTCCTTTGGAATAGGCAAAATGGGGTGGCTGGAACTTCAAAATTCCTTCATGCACCCAGGGGAAAAGTCTCTTGCTCCACAATGACCAGAACTGAATCCTCCAAAATTCTGTTGAATTAAATTGAGAACTGATTATTTCTGGTGRTTCTTGTGAATATTCTGTGCTGCAAATTAAAAAATCCCACCCAGATTCCTTAGACTGGGAATTGGGRGTTTCACTGCTGCTGGATTGATGGTGATTCCCAGATTTCTGGGGATGAGGGAATTTAAGGATTCATCAGGAGCCCTGGGCTGATATTCCCTGCCAGGGCACTGGTGGAACGTCCTCATTCCACTGGGATCTGCACGGGAACAGCATCTCCCAGCGCAGGAACAGGCAGGAATTAATCAGGATTTAGCGTGATTGGGATTTATTAACTAATTAGAAAGGGTGAACACCCTCAGGGTGAGCTGCTCCTGCAGAGGGAGGCTCTCCCACGCCGATGGATTTTATTCCCTCCAGCCGCCCGAAAATCCCGTTCCCAGTTCACACCAGTTGTGGTTTGTTCACCCACAGCTGCTCCTCCCATCCTTTCTGCACCCCCTGCATTTGCTCTTTCCAAACCTTTCCCTCTCTCAGCCCTTCAGGGAATCCCCAACCCCAAATCCCAATCCCAATCCCTCCAGGAATCCCAATCCCATTCCCTCCAGGAATCCCAATCCCCTCATTCCAGTCTGGGAAGGGCCTCACAGGCACTGGGCTGCTCTTAATGAGAGTCCTCCTGCAATTAATGACTGCTCTGCACAGCTCTCCTGCTCCTAATGAGTTATATTTCGTTTCTGTGTGCTTCCAGAAATCTGTGAGCTGCCGTGCTGAGATTCCTGCCCCCTCTGCTGAGCAGGAGCGGGGTCGGGATCTCCCCAATCCCGGGGCATCCGCTCACCTTTTGTGCCATTTGTTGACCATTTTGCACTAAAAATATGGAATTTTTTCTTGGCTTCCCTGTGTCTTTTTTTTTCTGTTTTTTTCTTTTTTTTTTTAATCCTTCCCCGTGCCCTGCAGAGGTTTCCCCGCATCTCTTGGAAGTGTTTTGGGATTTTTGGCAGGGTTTGAGCCCCGTAGGACACATTTACTCCTGGTGTGGCTGCTTGTTTCAGATCCCTAATGCTTTTCCAGTTTGAGGAGGAGATAAAAGACAGCTCAAACAGGAGGATACCTGGAAAAAGCAGGAGGAATTTGGGCCCAGGTGACTCGGAGCCCTTTGCTGAAGGTACAGTGTGAGCCCAAAGTGCAGCTCCCGTAGCTCCGTGTGGGAATTCTGTGTCGCTCTCCCGTTGGAATGACTCCTGTGCATGTGGCACTCCTTGTCTGTGATGTATTTTTTAACACCAGAGTCACTCMGAGTGAAGCAGCCGAGCAGGAGCTCGGGCAGGGCGCTGTGGCTCAGGCTCCCTCCCGGTTTTTTAACTCCGTGTGTAAATAAGAGCTCTTTGTTTCTTAGACTTGTACGTAGACCTTGCAAATGGCCTTAACTCCCAACTGACACATCTTGGGTGCAGCTGTCGCCATGAGGGACCATCCAGCTGAGAGAAATCCAGGTTTTACTCCCTTGGGAGGGGCTTTGGGACAGGCAGGGAGCTGGGATGTCCCATGGGAATGCTGGSTTTGTCCCTCTGGCCCAGCTGGGCAGGTAAAAGCTGTTCCCATCCCSACCTTTTGGGGTCTGGGGATTCCAGCAGCTCCTGCCTTTCCCTTTCCCCGAAGGTTTCCTGACACATCACATGGGAGCTGCCCCAGAGGGGTTTCCCCCCTTCTCTCTCCTGAAAATTCCAGTTTTTGTGGCATCAGGCTGATCTGGAAGCTCACCCAGCTGTTGGCGTGTCAGAGGAAAGCTCGGAGCGGATCCCAAGCATTTCTAGAATGAATAATTCACTTTTATTTCCAGTTTAGTGATCCTGTGCTCCTTTCAAACAGTGTGGGGRGTTCCCTCCTCACAGCTGGGAGCAGGAAGGGAAAACCATCACTTAGCAAAAAAAAATATCGAGGAGAAAAYAGTGTTAATTGCTATTCTTGCTGAGTTTGCGTTCAGTGGTGTTGAAGCTGTCTGGTGTCTCCAAGGGTGACCGTCCGGCCATCCCTGCCCAGTGACCCCTCCCTCCCTCYCTCTGTGTTTTTATAGCTCTGCAAGAAGCGAATTCCCAAATCCCCAAATTCCCCAATTCCCACGCTAGACTGTTGCATTTGCCAATACAATGGGGAAGAACAGGAATAAACCCTCGGTGCATCCCAAACTGTGATATTTTTTTGCCAGCAGCAGGCCCAGCCCTGGCTCTGGGGCGGGGGAGGCTCCTTCCCCTGTACATAAAACCGTCCCCACCGTCCCTCGGCTCCGCTGCGGCCGCATGAGTGACCCGAGCCCGGCTCCCTCGGCTTCTGCATGGCAGGGAGTGCTCGCCAGCCGCCCTCCCCAGCCAGCCCTGCCCCA